GGGTTCGGTCTACAGAGAGGAGGGTCATCTCAGAAGAAACATTTCCTCTATGTTTCCAAGTGAAGCCAGCCACAGTCAAGCAGGACCTTTGACTTACCTTCACATAGATGGAACTGGTAAAAAAAAAAAAAAAGGAGCCAGCATTCAATAAAGGAGGGCCAAGCAGGGTCATTGGACCCTCACTGGATTATTCAGCCATTCTTCCCAGCCAATTGAATGTGATTTGACCCTAATCACACATGATTTGGGGAAGGCTAAAGTTTACAATCTGGGGAAGGCTAGGAAGAGAAGGCATAACCCATGCTGAGTAAAGGCTTTCCAGTGTGCAAACCCTCAGGTCATACATACACCTCAGCAACCCCTTAGTTATCTTGGTAAGGAAGTGCAATAAATTCATTGGTTCCCCAGTAAAACTTTAATCAAACATTGGCATGACACTAGCACCTTAAAAGAGAATAAGCATTGCTTAGCATACCCAGGAAAAGAAGTCTCACAACAGATGGAAAATTTATTTGTTAATGGTATTATGTCTCATTATTATTTAAAAAAAGAAAATGAGAATGTAAAAGATGGTACAAGGATATAGGAATGGAGATATTTTCCAAAATAGACAGAAAAAAAATTAGAAAGCCTAAGCAAGTGATGAAGGTCTGTGTAGGTTTATGATATATAAAGGATGAGACAAAAATAATATACACATAATCTTAAAATGTCTGTGGTCATAGTTTAGTCAACTAGTTTAAGGAACAAAATATGTATCTAGTCAAGGTTTATCTGAGAATATTTGTTTTTTTACCCACGCCTTATCTACATATCGCATGATAATTAAAAGTGCCAGACTGGTAGAACTAACCTTATTGGATGTTTAACAGCCATACTTTAAGGTCTATACTAATGTGGTCAGAGGGACTTAAAGGACAATTTTTGCCCCTTGCCCTCCAAGGTCGACTAACTTCCAGGGGACTATGGAACATCTCTCAAAATGTCCTGTAACTGTGGTGAGTCACCTGTCCTCTTGTTCAGGGAGGCCATGGAGACCCCACCAGATGGACTTGAACCAGTGTCCAGTCTAAAAGAGGAGGGTCAACTCAGAAGAAACATCCTCAGAAGAAACATCTCAATCATGCTTCCAAGTGAAGTCAGACATGGTCAAGCAGGACCCTTGACTTATCTTTACATAGATGGAACTAGTAAAAGAAAGGAGCCAAGAGCTCCTCACAAGCCCATGTGACCCCTGAAGAGCAGATCCTCAAATGACATTAAGTGTAAAAATAAATTGATTTATTTGGGCCAGCCGTATGGTCTTAAACACCCAAAAGGAAAGTATAACCAAAGAGTAAAGTCATCAGTATATTTTTTTTAAGAGTTCAAGGGATTACACTTCCCAGACATTAGGCTTAAGTTTATACAGAAAGTTATTTAGACAACTATTTCTCATTGATGATTTTGTTCCTAACCAGAAAGTGCTGCTCAGATGTAAGACTTCAAATCTTGGTCTCCAATACTGTAGTGCCTACCTGTAGCTAAGGGAGACAACCAGCTATTGTTCTAAAACGATGGATAAATTTGTTTTCTCCTACTATCTAGAAGCCTTTGAGAGGGAACTGACACTAATTCTAACCACTCAACAGCTATCAAAATACCTGAAAGCAAATCCTGAATCCATCACTCTAGAGTGCAGCCTTGGAAGACAAAAGAAAAATGAGGAGGAACCCAATAGGGAGATGCTTTCAGAAGTCTTGTCAAGAAGTTCCAATGGATTCTCATATGAACATTTGAAAATTGCCCTGTTCTGTTTTCTAGTTCCGTGTCTAGAACTTGTAATGCTAATTACTCTTGCCTTTACTTCTCCTTCATATCTCCTATTAACAATTCAAGAACTTTCTTTTTCCCCTAGAGATAAGAGTTATGCAATTTGGGAGTCTTTTAGACAGACCTACTGAAGGGGTACTCCAGGTGCCTCACCCTGCATCCCTGTTCAGCGTGGAAGAAGCCAGAGTGGTCTGTGTCCCTATTCCCTATTGACAATTTGGGTAACCTCTTCAGAGGATGGTATGATAAGAATAGGAGGTAGGAATTGGCTAGGCAGTTAGAGTAAAAAGACCCCAAAGAAAAGTAGCCAGTTTCTTGGCTAAAAGTCAAAATGTCCCTGGACCCCTTAGCAACATACTCTGTTCCAAAGGCCAAAAATGTCAAAAGTATTTGGGAGTTTGTATCTAATCCTTAAAAGATTTTAGGGTTACCTCTTCAGAGGGGGGAATGTTAGAGTAGCCAAAGCCCCATAAAAATAAACAAATAAGTCAAAGAAGAAGAAGAAAGAATACATGAACTTGTCAGAAAAAACTGATGGGTAGATATGGGAAGAGTTGGAAGGGAGGGAGTGGGCATAGATTTGATCAAAACACCTTATATGTATGTATAAAATTCTCAATAAATTTTATTTATTTTTAAAATTTATTATTTTATTTTATATGTACAAGTGTTATGCCTGCATGTAGGTAAGTGCACACATGTTGTGCAATGCCCATGGAGGGCAGAAGAGACTGTCGGATCCCCTGGAAGTGGAGTTATGGACAGTTGTTAGCTACCATGTGGGTGCTGGGATTTGAACCTGGGTTTTCTGCAAGAACAGTCAGTGTTCTTCACCACTGAGCCATCTCTCCAGCCCAAAAAATTTTTTTAAAGTAAAAAGAAGAAAAAAGCAAAAAAGCTTTCATGGAATAATTATTTAAAAAACAAAAAGATAGTCATTCTGACTGGGGTGAGGTGAAATCCCAAAGTAATTTTGATTTGCATTTCTATGGCTAGAGATGTTGAATACTTTAAAACATATTTGTAGTTCTTCTTTTGCAAACTATCTGGTCCACTGGCCGATTTCCCAACTGGCAGTTTTATTCATTTACATTTTGGTGCTTACTTTTGGCAGTGCTTTATGTATTCTAGATAGGATACCCTTGTCTGAAGCATACTGGCAAGGATTTTCTTCCATTCTGCAGGCTGTCTGTTCACTCTTTCAACAGTTTTTCCTTTGCTGTGCAGAAGCTGTGCGTGTGTGTGTGTGTGTGTGTGTGTGCACATGTATATGTGAGTGCATCCACCTATGTATTCACTTGTGAAAGAGAGAGGTCAACTTTGAGCAATGTCCTATCTACCACTCTATACCTGTATTTATTTATTTAGACAGGTCTCTCACTGAACCTGGAGCTCACTATTTTGGCTAGACTGGTTAACCAGTAAGTTTCTAGGATCTCCCTATCTCTGTCAACCCATCCCAGCACTGGGGTTATGGACAAGTGCCACTACACCTGGCTTTTCTTTTTTTAATGAGTAAATAATATTTATTAGGCTTACAGAAAACATTTAACTTCATGCAACTTATAGAAAAAAGTGGCCATATTTGAAAACAGCTACAGGAATCAGAGTAGCACACAGGGCTGCAATGAGCAGTCACAGAACATACTAAAGCGGTATGTCTAGTCAGGCCCACTGGAGCCTGTGGGGTCAAATTCTTAAGTACTGACTTGAATGTCATGCTGTTCCACTGGCAGACATCCTCACTCTTCCAAGCACAACACCTGCTACTTCTCACTGAGCCCAGCATTTCCAAATCAGGAACTCTTCATCACAGTACATCAATAAATCTGTGCTGTTGATCACAATAAGAGTGTCCATCTTTCCTATGTGGCCAGTGGCAGCAATAGCATACAGTCAAAAAGACTTGGAAGCAATCAATGCACTGTGCATCCTTATCTAGCATAAACAGAGCATCAGAACAGTTGGGGGCTTCTACATTAGAACTTTCTGATACCATCACTTCCTCTGTTATGGCTCTCGCTAGTGATGAAACCAACTCATATGGATTCACAAAAAGTCCTGCTGGAATGCAATGTTTAATTAAAAGGCAACAGGTCTCCAAGTCTTAATGCTTTCTCCAAGTTTCACTTTTATTAAAAGATCTCTGTGGAAACCATCTTTCCAAAACTTCTTCCCTAAGATAATTTCAGAACAAGTGGCCCTCATGCCTGTGTGGAAAAGGGAGTTGTTGAAGTCTGTGGTAAGCCTGCAGACAAACGCAGCTTCCCAGAGGAGCAGCCAGGCCACCACATAGGCAACCAGAACCCCAAGAGGGGCATGCAGAAGGAACCTACACCTGGATGCTTATGTGGGTGCTAGGGATATGAACTCAAGTGCTTATATAGTCAATGAGACATTTTAATGTAGTGTTATCCCATTTGTCAGCTTGTGGGGTTAGCTCCTATGCTATTACAATACTATTCAGAAATTTCTGGCCTACACCTATATCCTGAAGTGTTTTCCCTATGCTTTCCTTCAGCAATTTCAGAGTAAAACTATTCTCTCTTTCCCATGTTGCCTTGAAAAAGTCTCTGGAAAAAATGTAACTTTCTTTTTGTCTAACCTAAGACCTGTTTCTCTACCACCAGATAAGACTATGTCTAAGCTATAACTTTTCTATACGTCTGTTTGTACCAGTGAAGAGTTGCTTTGGCCTACTGCAGGAATTCAATACGTTTGTTGAATACTGAATTTCAAGCTCATATTCTTATTTTTAAAATGACTTGTTCAGTGTCTTCCAACTCCTTCATTTCAGTTAGCTTATTGAAGCACTCCTGATTATTTAACACCATAGTAGTTTTAAGAATAACTCCTAAAACTTCACTTATAGTCAGTACCTTTTTTATAGCTTGCTGAAAGGAAGCTCAAAAGCTTGTCATA